CGGTGCGTGCTGCTGCCAATGACTACGCCACAGTGTGCTGCCGGGTGGGGTGTCCATAACATTGTCAGCTCGCATGGGAACCTTGAAAGGCTAAACTCGTAGAGGCGATTGTAGTCTGTTAGCCATTGACTCCTGCGAGAGCCACAAAGGGCTTGACCTGTAGGGGCGACCTCGTGAATAGGGCTGACAAGGCTTGTCCAGGTTGAAGCAGGTCGCCAGTTCGGAGGCAGGTTTCTAGGTCGCCAGGTCATCAGAATTTCAACAGTCTAGTTTTGCTCTTAGCACCTCAGCCTACAGACACCTTGTCACCTCAGCAGGACTGACCTATGAGGGCGGCTCCACAACTTGCTAGCCATCAACTCCCACGTAAAGCATGGAGGGCTCGATCTGCGGCGCAACCTCATAATTTGTTGGTTATCAACTCCCACGGAAACCACAGAGGGCTCAACCTGTGGGGTGGCCTCACATTCTATTGGCTGACAACTCTCGTAGAGCACGTAGAGCTTGACATATGGGGGTGGCCTCACAGTTAGGGATATTCTGTCAAGGCAAGACTGCGAGAACTCGTCTGGGCTAATCATTTTGCTTCTGCCCCCCCTAGGGGGTTCTTTCGATCAAGCGCTGTTGTTGTTGCTTGAAGATGTTATTACTTGAGGCTCAGAGAATCGTGTGATAAAATAGCCTTTTGTAGCGTTTCCCACAAAGTTACTCGGATAGCTAGCAAGTTGGAGGTAAGGCCATCTGAGTCTGCCCCCTGGAGTTGGAGGTAAGGCCTTTATATAGGCATTGTTTGGCGTGAGCATCATGCAACACGTCCGGGATCTCCGGGAGGACGTGCTTAATTGCTCCAAAGTCCTCGGAGGTAGTCGTGCACGTAGGCCAATCTTTGCGCCTTACTCGATTTCTCCCAAAACATTCGGTGTGAGAGCTGACTTCCGAGAGACCTGGGAGTGATGGGATGCATGCAGAAGTCGACGACAAGCACGTCTCGTAGGTCGCCACCTGGACCTCAATTAGGTCGGCAAGCCCTCGAGGGAGGTTGCTCTCCATGTCGAGGTCGCTTCAGCAAACACTGACGAGGTACCACAAGTCGGCCCTGGACGAGGTGCTGCTAGCCGCCTTGAGTCGTGGACGAGATCGCTGGCTAGGTTTCTACTAGGTTGGGGGTGGAGGCAAGTCGCCAAGTTGGCAACAGGGTAGGTCGCTAGGTCGGCGCTAGAGGCAGGTCGCCAGGTCGGCACCAGAGGCAGGTTGCCAGGTTGGCACCAGAGGCAAGTCACCGGGTCGGAGACAGTGCCAGGTCGCTAGCTGGGACTCCATCATTTTGATTAAGGCAAGTTATCGCCAATGTGGTTTTGTGTGTCACCCAATTGTTTTGAAATGCCATGTGTCATGATGTTAGTGGAGGGCCAAATCTGCCCTCGTCAAACTAGTAACGGGTAAAGGATTTTGGTTACGATGCAGGGGAATTCAAATCTACACCTCACAGTGGGCGCCCCACAACACATCCCAACCCTGTCCGTATTTCTCCGATCTTTTTATTCCACAACGGCCATAGAGCGCTCTCCACAGTCCATACGCGCGGCACAATTCTATGGTGCTCTCCACAGTCCACACGCGCAGCACAATTCATCCGTTCATTGGAAACAACATCACTGGTGTTGGTGGCAATTCAGCTAAAACCTTTTCTTGCGAACCTGATTCTGTAGCCAGTCGGATTTGGTGCTCACACCGTTTTCATAGCACTTTTTAGCCGTATATTGGAAATATATCCTCACGAATAAAAACGAAAATACAAATATAAAAATATTTCCGATGTATGGCTGAAAGGGGCTGTACATGTGAGAACGGTGTGAAGACAATTTTGTGGGACTTACTCCGCCTTCCGTAGGCAGCGGCCGCGAGTATGCGCTTAAGCCAATACTCCACTGTATACGTATAAATTCAGAAAAAGCGATGCCGATACATACATCAGACCAGACCAGAGTGTAGACCGTAGACAAAGAGGAGATTGGAGAAGGCTAAAAACAGCTCCACCTGGTTAGAGTTTTGCCGCAACTGTTCTAAAATGGAGCTCTATACCTCTCGCGCCATCTTAAATCTTCCTCCTCACAAATTCTACAGGTCCAGCGCCTCGCTTCTTCTTTCGACGACAACATCTCTACCACTGAAGAAAACCATAATCTCTTACAAGAAGCCAGGTTCATTTCCTTTCCCGCTTACCACTCTCTTTATTACTCTTTACGTTCCGCCACAAACCAAAACCCTAGGTTTCTTTCTAAGAAAGAAAAAAGAAACTACATAATTTATCTCCATTCCTCCATTGGGATATATGCCTCTGCACATGCGGTTTCTTCTTCCACTGCAATTGTCTATTACTCTGTATTTGCTTGACGTCGTCTTTCGTTGCTTTTCCTATTTTGTAATACCTGCTATCTGCAATTGATCCTTATTTTTTCGCAAAATTTCGTTCTGAAAATCATAGGAATGCTTTAATTTGTGGTTTATGAAAGAAAACTTCACTAGAAGACGTGTGTGATGAACAATCAATGAAGAAGGTTTTCGAAATTGAGTGTGGTTCACAAGTAATAATCAATCGTTGAAGTGACCGGAAGCAGCTTGTGTGCCACCGAATGACATAGGTCATATTTTGTCAGGAGCAAGGTTGTTTTGATCTCTAACATCTCCTGATTACGAGATTCCTTTTCATAGAACAGTAAGGGATTCCATGTGCGGGTCAATTCCAGTATACTGAGTTTGTTTTTGGATATTATTTGAATTATTCATCTGAATATTCCTAGCATTTCATTTTAATTTATTCCTTTGATTTTGTCGTGTTAATTCAGACATATAATAGAGTTTAATCACAAGTTATTTGTTTTGCAATTTCTCTTTTCTGCATTTTCTAACATATGCATTACTAGTAACTTTATCTTTCAAACTGGGATCTTTTATTTGATTTATTCATGATTTTTTTTTTTATAACCTACCATTGGGCCTTATTACTTGTATGCCCACTGGAAGGATGGTTGACGGACATGTATATGGACAATTCTGTCAAAATGTCTAGGTGGGCTTGCTTCGAGGCCTTTTCTTTTTCTTTATTTCTTTCTTTCTCTCTCTCTCTCTCTCTCTCTCTCTCTCTCTCTCTCTCTCTCTCTCTTTGTGCGGCACTTGTTTCTGTTTTACAAAACAAAATCATCCATATTGGTGAACACCCCCTAAATCTATTGTCTAGTTGACAAGCATTCATCATTTGATATCTGGCATAAAAAATTTCTACACACTGCATCTTTTCCAATGCTACTTGATTTTGTTACCTTAATTTAATATGAAACTCAAGATTTTAAAATGCTAATCTTAACCATCTAGTCTCTATAATGATACAGTTGGATTGGGAACTCAATAATCCAATCCAGTCTAGTAATCATGGCTTTAGAAGAGATGATCTTTCCTTGTAAGACTCTCCTTTTGTTCTACCATTCCAAGATATTGAAACCCACCAGTCTTGTTGAAATAAAAAAAAGAACAACCAGTCTCGTGAATCCATATTGATAGCCGTGAAGGGCTTTACTAAGAAACAAATATTCAGGTGGTTGGTGAAGAATCTAGTAAAGACTTCGGAACACATTAAAATTTAAAGCTTCTGAATGTAACATTCTAAAATTAGAAAGTTAGACACATTGTAATTTGGACACAATTTTCTAAAAATAATATTATTTCTAGGACTAGATCATGCGACAATTCTTAAAACAAAGAATGTTTTGTGAAAAAAACTTGTAAAAAAATTGAGTGTTTTGTGAAAAAACCATACAAAAGTGAAGTGTCTTTATTGATGGAAACATTAGTGTATGCATTGTCCATATTCTGGCCATAAATCACATATATATTATTAATTATATATACTCTTCTGGATAGGAAAGATGTAAGTGGTCTGTGGTTAGAGATGAAGGCAGGATTTGTTCAACCAACTAGCTAGTTGGCAACTTCAATATCTGTTTCATGCATATAATGTTTATATGTGTTTATATATATAGTGTTTTTTCAATTTATTAGAGAAAACTTTCTATGTAACTTACATCCTTCTTAGTACACAAGATACCCATATGAGCCAAAAATGATGTTAACATGCCATTCTGGAAGTTGGTAAGATAATTTATTGTCTGGTAATGATCCTGTGAGAATGACCTTATGTTGTTCCTTTCAGGTTTGCATTATTTTGCTACCCCATTGCTCAGAGCTACAGCATCTGAAGAGGCTCCAACTAGCGTGAATGAGCAGCTCAAAGAAGCACCTGATGGAGTAACAATTGTGGAAGAAACCCCACCAGTCCTAGCAAATGAACAGAATGCACCCAATGAAGCAGCTATGGGTGAACAGCTACAACCTTTGGAATTTCTAGATAAGCTTGACATAAAGGTTTGATTGAATCCTTAGAATTTTATTCTGCCTTTGTAATTGTGTCGTTACATGTATCTAGCATTAATTAGCACAATATCTTTAGCGGCATATGTGTCTAAACCTATATACAGATTAAAAAAAAGTGCAAAATTTCCTCCTTTATCTGGGCTTGGGACTGGTGGTGTAAGATGAGCTTACACTAGTGGCGTTAATAATTCCCTGCTTAAGTGATTTTTAACATAACGACTCTATCTTATGCATGTTATTGGAATTCCTTATTAATGATTTTGGAAATAGCTCTTCTACCTTCCACTTTATCACCTTCTCCTTTACCAGATTTTATGGTAATTGCTGCAAATACATCTAGGATATTGTAGAAGGTCAGAGGAGAAGTGTTGAACGAAGGTGTAAGCTTTGTTTAAGTTGCATGAAGATTTAACTTGTGTATGGGTTATATACATACATTATAAAATATCTCTATATGTTTAGTGATTCATTTTTGTCACTTTGGCAATGTTTTGTTGACTCCTAGGCAACAGCTAGCCACCTAAGCTAAACTTAAAAATAGAGGATAGTCTAAACGTTTTGGGGCATGCAAATAGAATTCCACTCTGTCCTTTTATCAAACCAAGGCTAGTCATCATATTAGGTGCTTTACTGTTTACTTTGCTTGTGGATGCATGCTGGGTGGTGTTCATGCTGTTGAATGTTGGAGGTTTAGTGTCATCTTTCTCTTTGCACCAAAGGGATTCATCTAGAGAGGTAATGCCTTGGCTGCTTTGCAAATGTATTGACTATTAATCAAAAGCTAGGAAAAGAATGAGGAGTGATATGAAGATATCAGAGAGGGAGAGAGAGAGAGAGTGAATCCAAAAAATTGTAACATAGGTACTCTCTGTGCTAATCGATCTATCTAACCTTCGTTAAAAACCAAAAAAATGCACCACAAGTACTCTTATCCATTGTCTGCTGCCATTAATAGGGCTTTTGTTAATTTCTCCAAAAGCAGAATTGTGGGAATAAACATAGCAGATGGGAACCTCCTGGAAAGTTTCGAGATAGTTTTCGGTTGCAAAGTGGAGGATCTTCCTATATCCTATTTAGGGATACCTCTTGGAGGGAATCCAAAAAGTGAAAGATTTTGGGAGATGATGGTGGAGAAATGTGAGAAGTTGGTTATGTGTAAAAGGAATTATCCCTCAAAAGGGGGGTGGGGGGGTGGCTCACTCTAATAAAGGTTTCCCTTGCTAATCTGCCTATTATCTTCCCTAGGTGTTTCAAATCCCAAACAAAATTAGGAATCAAATTGAAAGGCTTCAAAGGAACTTCTTATGGGATGGTGGAGCCGTGGAGGTGAGGAAAAAAAAAGCCATTTAGGCATGTAGTGAGTTAGGAGCATGCGTTTAAACCCAAGGAGGCTGGTGGTTTGGGAATTGGGCATGCAAAAGAAAAGAACGTATCTCCTTTTGGCAAATGGCTGTGGAGAATCTAGAGATTTCCCCTTGAACCCAGCTCTCTTTGGGTTGTCATCATCACCAGCAAATATGGGATAAATGCTAACAGGCGGGATAGCAAAATCTACTTGAATAAGGTTAAACCTGCCAATCCTTGGAAAGGTATAACGTCCACTTATAATATTCTTCTAAAAACTTTTAATGTTTGGTTAGAATATTAGCTGCAAAATGCATAGGTTTTTATGAAAACTGGTTAACTGGAGATGGTAGCAGTTAACCGGAGGCAAGGGGAGGGGGGGGGGGGGTCCCCAGCCCCCGATGGGGCTGGGCCAAAAAAGATGTAATCTTTGGGGCTACCGCTGTTTTCTTAGAAAAAATATGCAGAAGGGAAGAGTATTTCAAGGACTGAGTAGATCTTCAACACTCCAGCTTTGGCCTTCCCAGGGTGAAGTGCTATTCAAAGCTAACTCCAGATCCTTTTTCCTGGAACTGAACAGGAAAAGCACGCTGGAACAATCCGAGTTCCTGCAATCTTGTTTGGTAGGAAGTTTCGACCGGAAAAAACTTGATCTGGAGGAAGTACGTTCCTGGTCTTCAAGGGTGTGGAGGTGTAATCAGGGCTTCAACGTGAGGCGTCTGGATGGAGAAAATTGGCTGTTCTTCCCAATCTCTAAGGAAGAAGCTCGGAGAATTTTGAATATCGGTGCAAGGTGTTTTGGGGGATCACTTTTGCACCTAGAACCCTGGACGGAGTACATCAGGGTTTGGCAGAAAGAGAGGATATGCAGGGACACTTTTGGATTAGAGTGTTCAGCCTCCCGGTACATTTGTGGAATAACGAAATAGGACAGAAGATTGGAGATATGTGTGGGGGTTTCATGGAAGTGGACGACTAAAGAGGGTTCAGGGAATCTTTCGAATGTATGAGAATAAAGGTACGATGGATGGGGCTGCCTCCACAAACAGTTAACGTAATGGTTGGGGAGACAATGTATGCAGTTACGATCTGGCCGGAAATCAAAGCTGAAAAATGAAAACCCCAGCGAATTACAAAGAGGCGGTCTCAATAGGCATGGACTGTATCTCTCAGATTTTAACAGGGAAATCAGCCCACGGGCAGTGTTGGAATATTCTGAGAAAGAAGAAATGGAGATTGCTCCAGTCTACACTTCTGGTAACCAGCAAAGTGCAGAACTCGCCAGAGGTCAGGAGGAAGGATGGAAGAAAGTGGAGAGGAGGAAAAGAAGAAGATGAAATCCTAGCCATAGACCTTCAAACAAATCCTACGGTAAGGAGTTTTGCGCGTCTGACAAAGGAAAAAGGACAAGGCGGGGTCGGTTTCAAATCTCTTTAGTTTGAAATATGCCGATGTGGCCTTAGTAGATAAGCTGGCTGACACAATAGCGGACTGGCTAAAAAATCACACTCAGGAGTTGGGCTTTGAAGCCCGCGATTTCAGGCAAAAGAACAAGCCTGCCCATCCTTTTAACCCAAGCCCAGTCCGTTTTAAAAGCCCAGCCCAAAACATCAATCGGAAGCCCAACACAGGTGGATCTGAAGGAAAAGGCAAAATGTGTTTTCAGCTTCATCCTCCTCAGAGACTGAAGATACTGTATTCGATGGAGAAGGATCAAGCTTTCAGGAGAGATGGGACGCTGTGTATCAATGCAATAGTGAGAGAAGCGGTGATACTCTGTATGACAATGTCCTATCAGGCTCGGGTGAAGCTGGTGAAGAAGAAGGTTCCTTGGTAAAAGTCCAAAGGCAAGGGGCAGGTTGATTATTCTGAAGGACCCTGTTCAAGTCAAGTCATTCTCAGGTGCAGTCAGAGGCTCGGAAGAGAAGGAAAAGGGCATGACAGCGAGTTTGGAGGAACAAAATAGCATGGCAATGGTAGGTACAGCAGTGGAAGGCATTGGAGAAAAAGAAGATTTTCCACCGCTATGTCAAACACAGTTGCAACACACTCTAGAACCTCTTGCAGTGGTCCTACCAGCTGATGGATACTCTCAGATCCATTCTCAATCAGTAAATCTAAGGTACGTAAAAGAAAATGAAATTTCAAATTGGGTTCTCTCTAAGTTTTTGAGTTTTGGGGATTTTCTGCGGGTTTCTTTCAAAGGGTTAGAGGAGGAAACAAAAGCACTGCTGGCTGCCATTGAAAATAGATTTTTGGTGGAAAAAGGAAAAAAGAACAGGAGGCAGTCGAAAGAACTGTTGAGACTAACCTGGGGTTTAAACAACTCGGCAGGAAGTGGGAGATGTAATAGGAAATTTTAAAAATCAATAAATGGAGAGAATTAAAATACTTTCTTGGATTGTTCGAGGCCTGTGCTCAGGCAGAAGGAGGATGGTAATCGGGGACTTTATAAAAGACGGGAAACCTGATATCCTAATTTTACAGGAGACTAAGTTACAGAATTTAACCTTCAGAGAGGTGAGGAGTGTTTGGGGTTTTGACCCAGTTGATTGGGTCGAACTCCCAGCGGTGAATACTGCTGGTGGAGTAGCTTTATTGTGGAATAATAGTGCCTTCAAACTTTTGGACAAGAGGATAGGTTTGTATTCCATATCAGTCAAACTTCTGTGGGAAGTAAAGAACATACAGCTACTGGTAACAGGGGTGTATGGGCCGGCGGACTACAGAGTACAGACTGAAAGAAGCTTTCTGGGAAGAGCTGAACTCAATTAGAAGAGATTGGGGAGACCCTTGGGTGATGGGGGGTGGGGATTTCAATGCCATAGTAGACCCAGAAGACAGGAAAGGTTGTAAAAGGAGAAACAAAGGCATGAGTCTATTCAAGGATTTTATTCAAAATTGGGAGCTAATCAATTTGCCATTCTCTGGAGCTAGGTATACCTGGACCAATAATCAAGATAGGCTTTCATCAGTAAGAATAGGCAGATTCTTTTTTTTTTGATAAATAGACTAGGCAGATTCTTGATCTCTACTGATTGGGAAGATTCCTTCCCCAACTCAAAGCAGGAAGCCCTTCCAAGATTTGTTTCTGACCACATTCCACTTCTATTAGACACAGGTGGTTTGAGAAAATTTCCACCCCCTTTAGATTTGAACACTGTTGGCTGGAATCAGAGCAGCTGGTTTCCAATATCCAGCAATGGTGGGCTGAAAGTTTCTTCGAAGGCACAGCCAGCCATGTGTTTTTTAAAAAACTCCAGTAGCTGAAAGCTAAACCAAAACAGTGGCAGAAAGAAAGACCAAGGAAAGATGAGGAGAAAAAGGACTTTTGCTGGAAATTAATTGCTGATTTGGATGCTGAGGAGGAAACTGGACCTTTGGATGAGGAGAGGAGAAGAGAAGGAGAAGGGCAGGGGCAAAGACGGATTATGAATCCTTAGCTTACCAAAATGAAATTAAATGGAGACAAAGGTCAAGGGCTATGTGGCTAAAAGCTGGAGATAGTAATTCAGCTTTCTTTCACAAGTTAGCTAATGCTAGAAGAAGGCTAAATTCCATAAACCAGCCAGAGGTGGGAGATAAGACTGTATCTCAAGAAAAAGAAATTGCTGAAGCTTGTGAATTCTTCTTCAAAAATCTTTTCAGTAAACCTTGCAAACGAAGACCAAAGCTGAATGGTATTCAGTTTGAAACCCTCATGGATCAGCAGGCCAAGGATCTAGAAAAGCCTTTCTCGGAAAGAGAAGTTAAGGAGGCTATTGACAGTTTGGAAGGGGAAAAGGCCCCTGGGCCAGATGGATTTACTATCCTTTTCTGCAAGAAATTCTGGGAACTAATTAAAACAGAACTGTTGAAAGTTTTGGAGGAGTTTTATGAATCAGCTGCTTTAGAGAGAAGTCTGAATGCCACTTTCCTATCTCTGATCCCTAAGAAAAACGGAGCTAAAGAGATGAAGGATTTTAGGCCATTAAGCCTGATTGGTAGTGTATACAAAATCCTAGCCAAAGTACTGGCAACAAGGCTAAGAGCTATGATGGAATCTCTGATTTCACCTCACCAAGGTGCCTTGATTCATAATAAATAAATTCATGATGGATCTTAGTGCAAATGAATTAATTGACTACAGGTTAAGAAGTGGGAGGAAAGGGCTGATTTGCAAAATTGACTTAGAAAAAGCCTACGATCTTGTTAATTGGGCATTCTTAGACTATATGCTGGATAGGGTGCATTTTGTTCAAAAATGGAGGAGCTGGATTAAAGTCTGTATCTCAACCTCAAGGTTTTCATTAATAAGAAATGGATCAGTAAAAGGAAACATCACAAGCTCAAGAGGGCTGAGACAGGGAAACTTGATATCACCACTGCTTTTTCTAATTGTGATGGAAGGCCCAAGTAAACTGGTGGGAAGGGCTTCAGATTTGGAGTTTCTAGACGGTTTTGAAGTAAGGCCCAATGGGACCAAAACCCCCATGTTACAATACACAGATGATACACTCTTTTTCTGCAATTCTTCAGAGGATCAAATTATAAACCTGAAATATCTACTGTTCTGGTTTGAGATTATTTCAGGCCTGAAGGTGAGTTTGACAAAAAGTGAAATAATAGCTGTGGGGGAAGTCCCTAATATTCATGATTTGGCTGAGCTATTGGGATGCAAAGTGGGAAGACTGCCCTCAAGTTACTTGAGTCTGCCCCTTGGAGCTAAATGTACTTCCAAAGCTATTTGGGGAACAGTTCTAAAACGGATGGATCAAAAATTGTCAACTTGGAAGTCAAGGTACCTCTAAAGGTGGAAAGGTCACACTAATCAAAAGTGTGTTAGCTAGTCTTCCAACTAACCTTATGGCCCTTTTTCCTATCCCATCGAAGGTGGCAAAGGAAATGGAGAAAAAGATGAGAAACTTTCTTTGGAAAGGCTGGAAAGAGACTCACAAGTATCATTTAGTGAGCTGGGATCAAATCTGCAAACCTCAATCACAAGGTGGTTTAGGGTTAAGACATTTGAAGTTGTTCAACATAGCTTTATTGGGAGTTGGTTGTGGAGAGTCTCAACTGAACCAAATAATCTTTGGAGAAAAGTGATATAGGAGAAGTATGGCCTAAGGAACAATGGGTGGGATGCTGTACCACCCCCTCAAACCTATGGTTGTGGAGTATGGAAAGGAATTTGTAAGGCAGCTAGAAAGTTCTCTGACTGCATCAGTTTTAAAGTGGGAGATGGAAGAAAAGTGGAATTCTGGTCAGACCACTGGATTGGTGACAGGCCCCTAAAGGAGATGTTTCCTGACTCATTCAGACTTCAGGAGAACAGCATGTGTTGGACTCCCTCATTTAGAAGGAGTTTCAATGACTGGGAAATTCAGCAGGTTGCTGACCTTCTCTCTCTGTTACAAAGCCAGCAACTAAATCTCCATTCCCAAGACAAAAAAATCTGGAAAGGGACCAAAACTGGAGTTTTCACAGTTGAATCCTTCTATTATAAGCTAGTGAGGAGGACTGAATCTCCTTTTCCTAGTCGGGCCATTTGGGGGAAGCTCCTACAAAAATTAAGTTCTTTGTTTGGGTTGCAGCTTTGGAGAGATTTTTGTCTAAGGAAATGTTGATAAAAAAAGGAATGAGCATTCCAGATATCAGGTGCTGTCTACGTAATGAGGAGGTGGAGTCAGTTGGACATCTCTTCCTATATTGTAAGTTTAGTACTACAGTATGGAGCCACTATTTGAAATCCCTGAATCTGAACTGGTGCATGCCAGCATCAGTTAAAGCTCTTTTGGAAGAATGGCAGATTTCTGGACTTTCCAAAAAAGGGAGACTTTGCTGGGCTTCTGTCCCTCAAGCAGTGCTAGGCTGTGGTCAGAAAGAAATAGAAGGCTGTTTGAGAAGAAATCCTCTTCTGAAGCCGAGGTCATTAATTTAGCCATAGATGCCATTAGGAGCTGGTTGTCAATACATTCTGATTTCAAAGATGTTACTTCTGATCATACTTTTTTGAGAGTGAACTTTTTTTGAGGTCCTTTTTTGTTCAGATTCTCGTTGTACAAAGGACCAGTTATTAATATATAATCATACTTTACTTTCTTTCTAAAAAAAAAAAGGAAAGATGACAAATGGTCTGTGGGTTGACCACTAATGGGGTGATTATACCTTGGCTCTTTCCTTTCCTAAAATTTTTAGCCTTGCCCTGAACCAAAAAGCAAATCGTCTCCTCTTGCATTCCTACTTTCTGTTTGGAAAGTAATTGAAACATGAACCTTAGAAGATCCTTAAGGGATGTGGAAGTTAGTGAAATATCTAATCTTCTTCATACCCTTAGGGGGAGGTCTACATTTCCGTCCGTCCCCCTAACCTTCGAATTTGGAAATTCCACCCTGATAGGCTGATGGCAAGTTCTCTTCCAAATCCTTTTTTCAAGGTTTTGGTTGCAGGTGAGCAGAACACCTCCGTTTCTTCTATAAGAAGATATGGTGTTCCCACATCCCTCTGAGTTTTTTTTTTTTGGAAGCATGCCGAAAAGAATAAGCACTTCTGATCTCCCCCAGAAGAAAAATACTGGCAGACCTTGTCTCTCTCTGTTGAGCATCTCCTCCATTGCCAGGAAAGAAGAAAAATTTGGCACCACTGCCTCAACCTTACAGGTTACAGCTGAGTTGCTCTACATCATTTACTTAACTTCATTTGGCAGTGGCAAGAAACCTAATCTCCCACAGTAGGGCTGTCAATGTACTCCTAAAGCCCGGTACGCTGTTCGACTACAAATCCAATTGTCTCGGATTTGGATGTTAGAACTTGCATTCAATTAATAATGGGATCGGATGTGGATTTAACCCCATCCGATCCAATTAAAATCCAAGTCTGATAAAAAATATTTTTTAGGTATATATGTATAATTATGTATGCGTGTGTATATGAAGATATCATGTATAGTTATATAAAGATTATAATTGATAAGTATAATCTAAATGTATATTATATACATTTAACAGCGAATATGGCTTTAAATAGAATGGATTGGCGAAACAGGAGTCATGTAGTCGATCCCATACAATTGGGATAACGCATGGTTGCATGGATGATGATACATTATACACAGCTTTTTAGAACTTTTTTAATTTTTTGGTCATTTTAAAACAATAAGATGGTTGTGGATTAAATCCAAATCCAATCCTAAATTCAACATGATAATTGGATGTGGATGCGGATCTAGAGGTCTCATAATCGGATGTGGATGCAGAATTGCAGATGCAGCTAGATACGATCCGTTTATAGCCCTATCCCACAGTACTGAGTACTCATAGTTGTAACTTGTGGGTCACAAGCTCCCATCTATTTAAAGGTATTTCTATTAGTGACCTGTATAAGAACATCATCAGGCCCCTATCCATCCCCTGAGTTCAAGGTACTAGAAAGGAAAGGGCAATGACTACTAAACTGAATAGAGTATGTGTTTCTCTCGTATCCTGCACGAGGAGGCCCTTTTGTGTCACAAGTACAAAGGAATGGGCAGGGGGAGGTGCTAGAATATAGGTAAGGGATTTTAGAGGGCAGTGAGGTACAGAGGGAAGTGCTTGGGGCCAAAATGCATGGGTTGGTTCAATAATGCATGGGAGTGCATGCCGTTGGACATTTTGGTCATTTAAGATGATTGTTTGTGATTAAATTCAAGTGATGGAAGGGAATAAGAATAACGGTCCTTTTCAATTATTACATTACAAAAACCATCAAACCAACCAAAATAATGACACATTAACTGATAGAGGATATATATATATATATATATATATTCAATTTTCCTGATATTTTTCTTTGGCTACAATACAAAACCTGTAGATAGATACCTGCTTTAGAGATTCAGTTCTGGAACCTTCTGCTACCGGCTTATCCTAGCCATATCTTATTAACTTTTGCAGCTAGATTTGGAAGATACGTACTCGATCCTTCTGTATGGAGGTAGTGCTCTGGTGGCCGTGTGGTTAGCATCAGCTATTGTTGGTGCCATTGATTCCATTCCTCTGGTTCGTACTTCTTACATCTTCATCTGAGAAGTCGAATTCCATTAAAGTTTCTTTTTCTGAGATTACTCTCTTTTATTCTGTAAAACAGTTCCCAAAGGTGATGGAAGTTGTGGGTCTGGCCTACACAATCTGGTTTACAACCCGCTATTTGATCTTTAAGGTAGTGTGCTTTTGTAATGTTTTAATTTTCAACACTTCACTGTTTATAAGGAAGCGAATTTATTGATTAATGTTTTCTCACATTTTTGCAGAAAAGTAGGGACGAATTGGCAGCTAAAATTAAAGATGTTAAGCAGCAGGTTCTTGGTCCAACAGATGATTGATTGATATGTATTGAGATCATTTCTATGTATTGTTTTGATTGCTGTTGCTGCATCAAGCAAACTGTGTACAGTTTTAGTGGAGGAGATCGTGCGTGATCATTTCATGGTGACTTGTGATTCATAATTATCTTCTTATGGGGATAGTATTTTGTTGAGGGTGATCTGGTCTTATTTACCACCTTCCCCAGCTGGGAATTGAGAGCTTCATGCATTCCAGTTGCTGATTAGTAACAATGCAATCGATTTTGTACTTCTATGATAGCCAAACAATTCTCACTTTGTTCATTGTGGGCATCCAAGCGAGAAATATCTGGATTCTGGAGAGATCGTTGAGTTCAAGCTTTGCATTTGCTATACCAAAATTATACTGTTCATGGATGATGGCGCCACCTACCTCGCTGGCTGCCTCTGTTGTCTGGGAGTGAAATTATCTAAAGTTTTGCTTGTAACACGGGCTGTCACAACACGCCACATCAATTTTGTATCACGTAGGCAGTTGTCCTTTGTTGTTTCATCTTCACGGGACTTGACTTGGCAGGTTCTGATTGGCCCAGTACCATAAATTTAACGAGATAAATCATATAGGATTCAGGGTTGTTTGGTACATCGCCTTGTTGTAACTCGGTTATCCCATCAGGGCTGTTTAATTGGTGTCACCACCTTTCTCGAGTCCAGTTTTCCTCCTCTATGCACGTTGCAGCCGGACATCGGGAATATCTCCCGTAGATTATGTTCTCATTCGTGGGAGATGTTTCTCAATGCTCCAATGCACGTCTGCAGCCTGCAGGTGCTGTGATGTGAGTCTGAGCCATTCTGTGAGGAGGAAATCCGGGTTCTATTTTCATGGACGTGAGAATAGCTCCCGTCAAACTCTCAAAGACAACAGACCTCTAGCCAAGTAATCTAGATTCCAGATGCACACGTATCGCACATTTCATTTTGATATTTTGGTACTGGGCAATAGTTTCAGTTTCTTCTAATTCTTGAATCTGGAAATTTCAGAAACTCTTTGAGAAAGCAAACGTAGCATAAAATTTTAGATAAGCGGGTGTGCTTTGTAATCGTAGCGAATGGATGATGATTCAATAAAATCTAGAAAATTTTTAATATTTCTGGTAGGAGTTTGGATTGAAAATTTTGTCTTTGTTTCCTCCTGGAAGGAGATCGGATTAAATGTTTTTTTTTAACCTTTTACAGAGGAACGTTTTTTTTTTTTAAAAAAAAAACTTTTTACAGAGGAATCGAGGATTGGATTAAAAAGATTACTGACTTGTTTTTTAGCAGGCAAAATTTTACACTAATTAGTGTGTTGAGGGCCGAGTAAATGGGTTGATTTAGATGTATCCTCGCGTATCAAATGAACTATCTTGATTTTTATCCCAAAAAAGAACTATACTAATTTGAAGGAGTTTGCCTTTTGAAGTTTGAGAAGTTCTTTGTGTGTTCTTTTTCGGTAATAAGAGAAATTCTTTGTTTTTTTTGCTACTATTAACGTGAGAAATTCTTGAACCTTCTTCCGGACTAATAAAGGTTGGTTATCTTGCCTTTTAGTTGGGACCCATACAATGGTGGGGTTCCATTCATTCAGACTCATCTCAGTCCTGTATCCACAAACTCAGAACTCTTTTCTTTTATGTGGTTTCCGTTTTTGCTAGGCAGTAATATCTGCGTAGTTGCATTGCCACTACTAGGGTTTGGGGGGTTATGGGTTTGGGGGATGGGCATGGGCATGGGCATGGACTACGGACTACGGGCTACCCCGTTGTTGTGTACTGTGGCCCCATGAAGCCAAAATATCTGCGTAGGAAATCTGGGTTCTTGTCGCTATTTCAAATCCTTGTTTCAATCCGCGCACATTCTTATTAGTCTGGCTCTTTTTATCGAACAGTTGACGCGCCAAAATAGCGACTAATGGCTGGTGTCTTTCTCTCAAATGATATCTCCCTTCACGGCTTTACCCTTTGAGGATCTCTCTCAATGGTTATTACAGGCTACATGCGAATTTACTTAAAGTGTCAACGCTGTTTCTCCTCCTCCTCAGTCTCGCTTCCATGGATCTCTCCTCTCCAGTACCTCAAACCCACCAGGCCAAAACCAGATCCTCCACCCCAGACTTCCACATTGCTCCAAGAACCCCAAAGAAAGCCCAAATTCATCTCGCACGAGTCCGCTACCAACATGATCAAACGCGAGAAAGATCCCCAACGTGCCCTAGAAATCTTTAACATGGTGTCGTTGCAGCGGGGCTTCAACCACAACCACTCCACATACTCTGTTATCCTCCATAAACTTGCTCAATCCAAGAAATTTAAAGCCGTTGATGCGATTCTTCGGCAGATGACATTTGAAACCTGTAAATTTCATGAGGGTCTGTTTCTCAATCTCATGGCCCATTATTCCAAATGTTCTCTACACGAAAAGACAATAGAGATGTTTTATGCAATCCAGCCAATTGTTCGTGAAAAGCCCTCACTCAAAGCTGTTAGCACTTGTCTCAATCTCCTCGTTGAATCAGATCGGATGGATTTGGCCCGGAAGCTTCTCTCGGATTCGAAGAAGAGTCTCAACTTGAAGCCCAACACGTGCATTTTCAATATCTTGGTTAAGCATCACTGCAGGAAGGGAGACCTAAATTCTGCTTTTGAGGTGGTGAAGGTGATGAAAAAGGCAGAGATTTCTTATCCTAATTTAATCACCTACTCTACTCTAATGGGTGGTCTCTGTGACAATGGAAGACTCAAAGAAGCAATTGAATTGTTTGAGGATATGGTTTCCAAAGATAAGATCTTACCCGACACCCTAACTTACAATGTTTTGATCAATGGTTTCTGCCGAGGAGGGAAAGTTGATAGGGCCAGAAAGATAATGGACTTCATGCGAAAAAATGGATGCCAGCCGAATATATTTAATTACTCAGCCCTGATGAATGGGTACTGTAAAGAAGGGAGACTGCAAGAGGCCAAGGATATTTTCAATGAGATGAGGAACTCTGGTCTGGATGTTGATGCAGTTGGTTATACTACTTTGATAAATTGCTGCTGTAGGGCTGGGAGAGTAGATGAAGCTATTGAACTGCTGAAAGAGATGAAAGAGAAGGAATGCAAAGCTGATGTTGTCACTTTTAACGTGATACTTGGTGGTCTGTGCCGGGAGGGAAGGTTTGAAGAGGCTCTGGGAATGCTTGAGAAGCTGCCCTACGAGGGTGTTTATCTGAACAAGGCAAGCTACAGGATCGTGTTAAATTTCTTGTGCAGGGAAAAGGAGATGGACAGAGCATCATATTTATTGGGTCTGATGCTGGGAAGGGGATTCCTGCCTCATTTTGCAACTTCAAATGAATTGCTCGTTGGTCTATGTGAGTCTGGAAAGGTAGCAGAGGCAACTGTTGCATTGTCTGAATTGGGAGAGATGGGTTTTAAGCCAGAGCCAAGTTCATGGACTCGGTTGGTTGAGTCAATCTGTAGAGAAAGGAAGCTAGTAAAGGTATATGAACTGCTTGACGAGTTAATTATTGCAAGAAGGTGAATTTTCTGAAACATTTTCCTTTCAGCATTTAGATTTCAATGCATCTAGGGAAAAGTATGCAAACAATAGAGTATTGAATCACAGAAGGATGAAGAAGATATTGAAGTAGAGGGAAATAATTGTGAGAAGAAATTTGTCTAAATGGTCACGAGGAAAGGAAATTGTGGGATTTTAGTGAGTGTATTTTAGGCCATATGCTTCATGGTTACTGCCTTACTCCTCAAAAGATGGTGAATGATGAATAAGATTGCAGAAATCTCTCCTCAACAGTGGAGATTAGTGGACAGAACTGGTTAACTGCTTGTAGTCGCATTATGAGTTGTATTTCTTCAACGGAAGTCTCTTTGGGTTAATTGCGAGTCACTGAACAAAAATTAGCAAAGGTCTCTGATTTGGCACTGCTGCTTGAGAAGTAGGCTTTGAATTTTTGTAAGCAAAATATCAGCATGAAAGGTAAAAGGGCAACACCTGTCTGCAGGAGACTATTGAGCAACAACAGACTCGTGCATGAACTACTTGTGATCCTGCTTCTTGCATACATCAGCATTCTTCAGTTGAACAGAACAATAAGTGGATTTGCTCAAAGTTCACCTTGTGACGAGAGCTTTGTTGCCTCTGGGCCAAGCAGCTATTGCAAATGAGTTAAAAAAAATTGAGGATTCGTGCCTACAATTGTGACGTCTTCCTCTATGCAAGTATGAGTCCAAAAAATTGAGGACTCGTGTCTGGTTGTCTACAAGTCTAGGTCATGCATGTTTCGATTAAGAACTAGTTGGCTCCGTCATCAACTTGCCATCATCAATCTGCACCACTGAAGGTATATGATTAAATAGCACATTCATCAGCGCAGCTTGGGACCTTCAGGGTCTGGAATTATAGACTCTATAAGGAGCTTTTCATGCTATGTGGTGAAGGTAAAGAGCTTCATTTCCAATACCACCAAGCCATCTTTATCTCAGCAATGAAATTGGTAGGCAATGTCCTAGAATTGAAAGTCGCATACTATGGACTTGCAAATATTACTTCTCTTCTGTGAATTCTGTAATCTAGCCACTTTGTGCATTATTTTTATAATACTTGGATATCAAGATTGACAACATGCTACATGTGCAGCATCATGCATTGAGAGGTTGCTTTGGATCCTTGTTGAGACATCTTGTAGGTGAATCAAAGAGTGCATTGGGACATGATGAAACCAGTGATGGTGAATGTACCATACAGAAGTTGAACTATTGTAATGTCAATATGTCATGCAATTATTTAGAACATACTGATGACGTTATGTAACTTAGATTACCAGCAAGATCTAAGTATTGATGCACATCAGTTTTCAGGGTGGGCAATACACGAAATACTGAGAATTTGGGAGAGTGAAGATGTTCAAATCTTGATATTCATTAGGGAAAACTAAGATTTCAAAGCTTGTTATGAAATTCTGCCATTTTCAAAGAGTATTGATGTTCAAAATCTTGGTTACCAGAGCACCAACGGCAAAAACTCAAATCAACTCAGCCTTTAATTACTTGGACTCTTGTCGGCCTTATTCAATTGTTTGGCCCCTTGCTATACATACAACCCATGTCCTTTTCTCACTCACTCCCCTTGACTCTGTTGAAACCCTAGTATCATCAGTTATTAGTGGCACAGTGATGGTGTATACTGTACCCACTTGTCTGGATTCGAATTTAATCAAGTATAGTAGAGTCTAATGCTGTTCTAAATTGAACAATTAAAATATCATAGGCAGGAAGAAGCCGCACTCTGCAACCTGCATATTCATGTAAGCGTATTCAATAGGTTATATTGGCACAAAGATTTCATGCTAAAAATAACCATTATAAACAGGAGAAGGGCCAAAAGGCCTGATATTTTACTTATACTTTCTACCTATTGAAAAGCCAGAAAGAAATGCACGATTTTCACTATCCTATTACGATTTAATTTACAACCATCATCACATCATCCATCATCCCATATTTTCACTCTTATCCAATTCAACTAGTTGCGACTTGCGAGCACCAGTCAATCCTAAAGATCTTTTGCTTTCCATGTTTTAACTGTCACTTTTGAATCTTAAATCAAGACTTCCAAGTAAAGGCTTTGAAGATGAATTTGGTAACATCATTTTCATTCTTGGATGAATCTAATGCTGTTACATTTGACAGTGATGCGACTCAATCGCAACAAATTCCATTGCAGTTCAGATTTCAGAACGAGTGAACAGAGTTGGGGCTTAAACTTTAAAATTTAAACTACAGTTTACTTCAGCATCCTCGCATATTCCGGTCATTCCCCCTCACAAGACAAAGCACGTGCACACAGGCGGCACAAACTATGGTTTCAAAAAACAACCCGGAAATAGAACCATTCTGGCCACCTGTTTTCAGGTTAAAGGTCCAACCATCTGGTTCGAATGGATGGCCCATTCTGACAAAAATAATAAAAATAAAAACGGTCAAAAACCATTGAACAAATCAATGGATCAACGGTTCAATTGCCTGAGTCAACAGGTTTTGGCTTTTTCAACAATTTTGTACCAAAGACCAGGTTTAAGGTAAAACAGAACTAATTGCCTGGACAGTTCCCAGGCTGAACAGTCCAACCATCTGGGTCAACAACAGTTTGAAAACATTGGCACAAACACTTTACCTGTAAATTTGCCTACACAGGAGTCCAAAAACGACCATATGCTCTATTCATTTGTAATCATGCTCCGTTTAGGAAGACGGGAAGAGTGCAAATACAGCCATTCTGGTTCATAAAATTCGAAGTTTGTGAAGACGGGAAGAGTGCAAATACAGACATTCTGGTTCATGAAATTCGAAGTTTGTTTGGTTTTGCATTGATCTTACTAAATGGTTTTTGGTTGTTATGGGCATATACACGAATTCCAAGACTAAAATCCAACTTTATTTATCATTGATCTGAGAGCAAAAGTTTGTATCATTTTTTAGATGTGAATTTTGCTCTTATGATGAATGCAAACATGTCTAGGAATTCATGATTGCCAACACATGTATTCTTATCTAACACCTTTAAAACTGAACCAGAGTACAAACATGAACCAAACTGACGTTAAAAACGACAGCAATCACGAATTCCACAACATATTTGCATTAAAAAAGAGTAAAATCCACATCTAAAAAAAATGAATGCAAACTTTTACACTCGAAGTTGGACAATTAATAATTGGTCAAAGCCTTTACCCCATTATAGATTTTCCCTAATAAAAAAAGGTGAATTTCAGTCTTGAAATTCATGTTCATACTCATCACAACTAAAAATTGTTTGACAAGGAGTACGAAACTATCATTGCACAATTAAACATATTTGTAATTGCACTCTTCCCTAACGGAGCGTTTGCCTCCTTTTACACCGATAACCTAAAATTTGATTTGAAACAAGCACTTGTAACCAAATTTACCAAAAAAACAAACACCCGTAACCACAGCACTCAAGGTTCGATGCCTTTGCATCAAACCACAGGAAACGAGTGAGAAAGAAATGGAACATCATTCCATATCATAAACTATTGGCAAGAGTGACACATGCCAAGATCTTCAAAAGATTAATTACATTTGTGAAATGCCAATACAAATATTTGGCTGTTCTGTCCTCTTGATCGGTTGTTATAACTTATAACCTAGTTTACCTCAAAACTCCAGTGACTCCCGAGTCTCTAGTCTAAAGTATCCACAATCAATTTCCTCATCAACAACCCTTGTATGCTCCCCGTTATATTTACCAGATCGAATTTCTGATTCCAAGGCCATTGCATGTTAAGATCAATCCTTTATATCGGTTAAGGTACTCCTGTAAACAGAAAATCACAGAAATGGTTGAATCGAGAGGAACAAAAAAACGGAACATTAACAATGAGATAAGAGATGGAAGAAATCTTACAATGATGTTGTAATCATACACACGTTCCATCCCTTTACTATCATATTCCCTCCTTTTAACAGGATCACTTAGAACTGTGAGAAAGGAAAGCATCCATAATGTCAAATACAGATCTATTTCACGTTATTATCCATGCAAATTAAGGAGTCTAACAAACTCATATCTATCCGTTTCAATATATAGACCAATAGCAAATAGAAGAAAAGAAAAAATACTTAGATAAAAAAGGTGCATACGGTTATATAAGAATAAATAACAACAACACACCCTTACAAGGAAAAGAATGAAACCATGTGATAAATGTTATGCTTTCCCCATTACTCAAGTCAAATAAGATGGTTTTAATCCCAACTATTTGGATTTTGTTAGACAAATCCTGTCCCACCATTGCTATATGCTCCACCCTCATATATGCTTATTTTTTCATTGCTAACCATAAGTGGAACATTTTAGTTAATTTCAGTCACTTTCTCCCCATTCCTTTTGGTCTACATCCTCATGGTCATGGTTTGAATGTAGAATGCAAAAACTGAAAAACCTCTCCGCTTTCGCAGTTCAAGCGTAATCCTTTGCATGAAGTGATAAGATATATCTAAAATAAGGTGAAAGTAATACACTAATACTAACCTTGGTAAGCCTCATTTATCTCTTGAAATCTAGAAGTTGCACCATCCTGATCCTTCCTTTTATCTGGGTGCCATTTCTGTAAAAAAGAAGATGATGTTGATGAGATGTTCTAATGCATGGGTTTTCTCAACAGTAGGAATTTAAAAAAAAAAAAGGAAAATGTATAAACAAACAAACAAACAAATAGGATAAAGGGCTTCTTTATGTTTTAGTTCAGACGAACTTGAACAGAGCTCCACAAATGAATAATAAAGTTAAAATAATGCCATAGAAATCAAATTGTGGTATTTAAAGTACGGGCACATAAAATATACGAATGTTCACCAATGCATAATGAGACAAAATTAAATACAAACCAATGCAAGACGGATATAGTTGGATCGTATGGTGTCTTCTGTAGCATCATAAGACACTTCCAATATTTTATAGTAGTCCTACATGGGAAATTCCACACTGATGATTAGAACTATAAGCCAAAAAATTGAGTGAAATGTTTTCAAGTACTTCAAAAACATGAGATACATGACACAAAATACCACATAATAAAATCGTACAAGCAAAAATTGTATCTCCAGGTAATATCTCCTCATGCTTTCTCATAATGCAGGAGGTATTTTAGAGGCTTGCACATTAAAGTACTTCACTAGCTCAGATGATTACTTTCATATCAAAAGAAGTATACTGAGCAGCTATATATGCCTGAGGTTTCTGAAATTGACTTCCAATAACCTCTTGCTTCAAAAATTATGTGCCGACTCTTTAATTGAGTACAAATTTGTTTAAACCCAAGCAAGTAACACTGGCGTGTCCTACATCTGGCCTGTGGGCCTTGTTTACTGCCACTGCCTGCTGATCCTATCTCATAGAGTTTAAGCGTGTTCCTGCCATTGGTTACAGCATTATAAAGCTCATATTAAACTGCTGATTACTTAGCTTAGAGTGCAACAAAGATTACATCTAAGTGCATTCTCTCTATGCACAATCACCATATTCCTCCCTTTCATGCATCTTCTGATCTTCTACAATGATGAAATTACTTCCATACTCTAACCCCCTCCATATTCTTCCGGCATGGATAGTTCTTCCTAAAATACATCTCTATTAAGTTTTTTACACGCAATAACCAGATCAGTTTTTAGAAACAGGCAAGGTACCTACTGATCTAGGAATGGCAAGTGCATGGCAATCAGAATCTGTTATGTGCCTTATGGGAACTCACCTCTAAAAAACTAGCTGTTAGAGGGAGGGAACCCAAGCACATATATACCCCACAACAGCATCCCATGCCACCGATGTAGGCTACGTTACATTAGCATTCCATACTACTACCAACATGGGACAAATGGATCGTAACAGAATCTATGACCTCGAGTAAAACCTTATTTGAAACATTTAGGTGAAAACTCATCGGAAGGAGAAAAGATTTTCTAACATTTTGTCTTCTTTTTTCGTTAGAGGAGGATGGAGTGCCGCACAACACCAAGGTAGCCAACCCCAACAGATCCATGAGAATCTGGTGTCTATGGCTATGCTATGACAGTCTTTAATCAGGATTTCCAAGTTCCGTGGAGGTTCGATTTTCCCATTCAAGCAACCCAGAACTTAAGATCTTCTGTAATTCAGACCAACTGTTTTGAGCAGTATTTCCTAGCTGTCTCCATAAACACATAAGCGCAGAATGCCTCCCCCGTCCAGCAGTATTTTGGTAAGAGATATTTAACCATTTTCCTGCTCCCACCACCAACCACTCCATCTTCGTAATTCCAATTGATCTTATTAAACTTCCTAAACACCCAACCAAAATAACCATCAAACAAATGTCTGAAGAACAACGAAACTCACTTCAGATATTCAATCAAATAGTGCATAAACCCTAAGACGTTATTCTTCTTCTTCGTGGCAAGTATTTCATCAAAAGTTGAACACAAAAAGGAAATAGAAAACAACTGAATTAACGACAGAGACCATACCTTAGGCTTAGGTAACAGCGAAAGGAAATCGAAATCAACGGGACCGTCTTGCTCCACTTCCTCTTCTTCTTTGTCGTCCCCTGCCTGATATTCCCACTCTTCCCACATCATTTTCTTCACGTAGGAACGAGTACACCCAAAAACCAAATAATAACAGACGAAAGTACACAGATAGCGTTTGAGGTAAACCCCGGGAACACTTTCTGCTTTTTTTTCCCTTTCGCGGTTTCGTCTGTTGAGCATTTTCACCCGCCGAAGAGTGAAGAGTTCGGATTGGTGCCTCACAAAGCTCGCCCCACTATCTTAACCGTGTATGGGGAATATCTTCCGTACTTGTCATTGGGACTTATTCCAATATACGGTTGAGATGTACTATAGAGGCACGTGTGAAGCGCGCTCTGTGAAGAGCCCGTGCGCTCTCGGAAAATTCTAGATGCGTGCTTTTTTTTCAGGACATAGACATGGATATTGAAGGAGTTTTAATAAATAATAATAACAAGAAAAATCGTGAGTTCCTGTTGCATTTTGTTTGGGATTCTGATTGCTCTGGTTCTCTCATTCTCTCTGCTTTGAAATTTTTTCTTCTCTGCAGGTGAATGTTTAATTGCAGTAGGGGTTTTAATCACCGGCAACTTTCTTTCTCCCTCCTTTTTCCTCTTCTTTTTCTTTTTTTTTCTCCCCTGTTCTGCCACCGCTGCTGCAACTCGAACGAGCAGCGGTAGCAACTTCCTTACTGGATGACAATCGGATTTGAGTACCAGAATATCTGAGTACCTACATCAAAACGGCGAATGAGAGATAGTCAGATCTGGTTTCCTTCTACGATCTGGGCTTGCCGAACATTATTTCTACTTTGCTTCTTAAACCCTTTTGAACTCAAGGGAAATTGAGCTCAGATGAGATTCTGTCGACAATTTACAGGCAAGGACAGTGGTGGCGGAGAAACAGGGAGTGGAACGGTTGCAAAGTGGTTCACTGTAGCTGCCGCCGGGAAGAGGGATGATGAAAAAGAAGGGAGAGAAACGAAGGGCAAAATTGGGTTTTCAAGGTGTGTATGAATTTCGATGGAACATTAAGGATATTAAAGACAGGGGTAGAGTTAGTTAATTGTAAAAAAATTAAGGGTACCGCAAGAAAATAGCTCAAAGTAGGGGTACTTTAAGAGGTTTACCTTTAAAAAATGACATCGAATAAAAAACAAAAAAGGAGAAAAAAGGAGAAAGTGTTTTCGACTCTTTATTATGTATGTATGTATATAGATATAGATATAGATTATATAATAAATATAGATGAAGGGTTTAAAATTATTATTAATAAATATTAATTTTTTTGAATTATTACTTGATATAAGTGAAATTAATTATTTACAATATTATGTAAAAAATTAAATTATTATTAATTTCAATATTATGTTATAATTATTTTTCTACTTTTCAAAAAAATTTAAATTTATTATATAATTTATTTATTTTAACTATTTAAAATCTAGTTATGTTAAATATTTTGTTATTTAAAATATCCAGTTATTTAAAGACTTAAATAATATGTAAAATATTTAAATTTTAAAATGTTAGTTATTTATGGAATTTAATTATCCATAAAATCATAATTTATACTATTATTACATAATTTCACTATTAATTTTGTAATATATTAAATTATTATTAATTACAATATTATGTTATAATTATTTTTCTACTTTAAAGAAATTTTTAAATTTATTACATAATTTTTTTATTTTAACTATTTAAAATCTAGTTATAATAAATATTTAAATAATATATAAATATTTAATTTTCTTATTTGAATTTTATTTATTTAAAGCTATGACATATTATTAAATGTTTGAAAAACATAATTTAAATTGTTATTGCATAATTTTGTGATATATTTTGTAAAAATATGAAATTATTTAATAGATTATTTCGTTATTTTAACTATTTAAAATATAGTTATGATAAATATTTAGTTAATTAAATATTTAAATAATTTATAAAATTATTTAATTTTTTTGTTATTTGAATTTTATTTGTTTAATGCTATTAAATATTTGAAAAACATTTAAATTAATAATCCGGAAAAACATAATTTAAATTGTTAGTACATAATTTCGTGATATACTTTGTAAAATATAAAATTATTTTTTATGTTTTTAATAAATATTTTAAAGTTATTATATAATTTTGTTATAATATTTAAATAATTCTTAAATTTTTTAATCCAAACTTTCTTTAGATAGATATAGATAAAAAGTAGGGGAGAGGATAAATAGGAATTAGAGATAATTTAGAAGATAAATAGGAATTATAGATAATTCTAGAGAAAGTGGGGGAAGTAGTTTATGATAAATTTTAGGATAAGAGATTATTTAGGATATTGGGAAAGTACATCTCATTGGTTATTTCAAAAGTGACATGGAATAAAAAAATAAAAAAATCATATATATATATATAGATAGATAGATAGAAACAACCATTTGATGATTGGGGGAAGAAGAGAAGAGAAACATTTGACTTTGACCATGCTCTTGAAAAATTGATAATACGTAGTCATAGGTAGAATCAACCATTTGGTTCGAGACTTCAAGGAGACGTAACATCATTCGTTGAGATCCATCCAGGCTCAATCGCATCTTTACCCTTTTTGATTGATCAAAGTTGTAGGGGTATCATACCTTTTGGGCATCGTAGAATCATAGTACAGAGCGATTCTGAGGAGATACATGTTGGGCGGTCCCATTCTTCTCAAAGCCTCCAAAAATCTTCTCAGACTGGTGTTGTGCTGAAATGTGAGCGCCGGAGGCACATTTTAATCACTGGCAACTTCCTTTCTCCCTCCTTTTTCCTCTTCTTTTTCTTTTTCTTTCTCCCCTGTTATGCCACCGCTGCTGCAACTCGAACGAGCGGCGGTAGCAACTTCCTCACTGGATGACAATCGGATTTGAGTACCAGCATATCTGAGTACCTACATCAAAACGACGAATAAGAGATACTCATATCTGGGCTTTCCGAACATTATTTCTACTTTGCTTCTTAGACCCTTTTGGACTCAAGGGAAGTTGAGCTCAGATGAGCTTCTATCGACAATTTACAGACAACGATAGTGGTGGCGGAGAAACAGAAAGTGGTCGATCTAGAAGGTGGCTGCCTGTAATTTCCTAGTGCATGTTTTTCATAAAAAATAGTGTGCGAAAGGGAAAATAAGTTGGACAATTCGGACCTTTTTTTTGTGAAGATTTAACCACTTCTAGTGTGATCTAAACCAACAATCATGAATAGTGAAGACTCAACCACCTCCAGTGTTTCCTTAATGCATAATGGACTGAGTGGGAGTATGGATTTATCCTTCCATATGGCTGTCATGCCTCTTGATGGACTAAATTACTTAGAATGGTCGAAGGGGATCAAGCTATACATTAATGCAAGAGGAAAAAATAGGCTATATAAATGGAAGAATTAAATAACCTAATTCTGGGAGTAATGAGTATGATAGATGGAACCAGGAGAACAACTTGGTAATGTCATGGCATCTCTTAGTGCCTATGCAATCTCAAGTGAGAAGAAACTTTATGTGGGCTGAAATAGCTTATGAAATTTGAGAACAAGACAAGTCAACCTATTTTGAATTGAGACACTATGCAAATATCAATCACTATTCAGACATGGGAGAACATGGGAGAGGAGTCTCTCTATGCACTATTCAGACTTGTCTTCCATCTAGAAAGAGTTGGATCATTATCAAAGTGTAGATAGGAAGTGTGATGACGATGTGAAAGCATATAAGTCTCTTGTTTCTTAGTAGAGGGTTTTTGCCTTCCTTCTTGGTCTGAACCCTATATATGAATCCATTAAAGTGCATATCCTTGGGAGCAAGGATCTCTCATTTGTCAGAAGAAAATAGAAGAAATTTGATAAATAATTTTGGGGGAGATGCAGTTGTGTTGGCATCAAAAGGAAGTATTGTTACAAGTGGGGGAAATCCTTTTTAAAAAGGGTGACTCTCAAAAAGAAATGGTGGATGACAATGAAAATTTATGGTGCACCCATTGCCAGAAACTTCGACACACTTGTAACACATGTTGGGACATTCATGGGAAATCAAAATGGGCTTAGAAATTGAGTAAGAAACAGGGTTCAAATCAGAATAAGAAGTCGAGGCAACAAGGTTCAAGAAAATTCACTACATCAAACATGGCTACTCAAGAGAACCAGTCCCCTCCTACTACTTCAATTCAGACATACACCTTTGGTTATGACCCTAGGGAGGATATCGTTAATTCCTTTCGTGATCATTTAGAACTTCATATGCATCTACATTAGGTAATTATGCCACAACTCTCCATGTAACGTTTCATTCTTCTGACTCTCATTGGATAATTGATTATGGATCGTCAAAACATATGACTAGTAAGTCTACCTACTTTCAGACCTATCATCTTCTCTCTAAAAGAGACAAAGTGAGATTGGCTGATGGTTCATTCTCTACCATAGCTGGTCAATGAACTATTTCTCTTCCTTTTGGTTCCACACTTTCTAATGTTTTACATGTTCCTCAATTCCCTATTAATTTGTTTTTTGTTAGTAGTATAACCAATTCTTTAAACGGTTCAGGAACCTTATTCTCTTATTATTGTGTGATTCAGGATTTGAACTCGGGGAAGATGATTCGTAGAGGGCGTATAGTGGATGGTGCCTACTTGTTGGAGAATAAGGTTGGCCTTGTAGTTATCAAATCTAAGAGTCAGTCTAGTAAGAGTTAGGCCTATTTATGGCACAGTCGTCTTGGTCATTTATCCTTTAATTCCTTAAATATTGTATTTCCAGAGTTGTTTAAGTCGGTGTCAATGTCATAGTTAATATGTCAAACTTGTTAGTTGAGTAAACATTGTAGAACTCATTTTTCTTCAAATAATAATAAATCTGAATTTCTTTTTCATATTGTTCATTCTGATGTTTAGGGCCAAGTTACTTTACCATATAAAAGTGGCTACAAATATTTTATTACCTTTATTGATGGTTATTCTAGGTAGACATGGGTATATCCTATGCGAAATAGGATATTCCAGTTGAGTAAACATTGTATTTCATCTTCTGTTTCCCAAGGCTCCTCTGTTGTCTATTCCTCTCCGTGTTTTTGGTTGTTGTTGCTTTGTTCAAAACCTGTCACCCACTTGTGGGAAATTAAATCCTTGTGCTATTCCTTGCATATTTTCGGGGTACCAGTGCTTTGATCCCGTCTCTCGGAAATATCATGTTTCCATAGATGTCTCCTTTTTTTAGAGTGAACATTTCTTTCATGTGTTTCCTTAGGGGGAGTGTAGGTATGAGGACAAATAGGTTCAGAATCCTCTCCTACCTCAGATTTAGCTCCTCCCTCTACCTGATCCTCCTCC